AAAAAAAAAAAAAAGAGTCAGCCACTTAACTGACTGAACCACCCTGGAGCCCCTACATGAATCAGATATTTCAGGGCACAAAATCAGATGAAACACAAGATTCTACTATACTATAAGAAAGGAAAATGTTTACAATGTAAGGAGAGAATAATTCTAATTACGGAATCAGGAGACATTTTTAGAGATGCTATATCTTAAAGAATAGAAAGGAAGAGAACAGGCCTTGCTGGTGAAAAGAAACAATGCGAAGATGGCAGAAATATCTCCTAATCCAAAGCCAAAAGAAAACGAAATAAAACATCAAAGGAAGCAGCCTCTTTCTACACCCTTCACTTTCCCATTAAAATACATGTTTTAATCCCCAGATCTATTTATACTTACAGCCCATTAACCAATCCTTTTTCCTCTCTCTGTCTCCCATGATTCTGTCTTTTCTTCCAAAATATTCTTGATGTATATTGTTAATGAAGATTAACATCTTCTGAGTTTTGTATTTACGAATCAGAGGTTTTATGTGTCCAGTGAACATGACAGATGGCTTTATTGAGATATAACTGATATAGAACATTAAATAATTTTAAGGAATACAATGTGTTTATCTGATGCACTTATATATTACAAAATGATTATCACTATAGCATTAATTAAAATTTCTGTCACCTCCTAATTTCCATTTCTTCTTTTTTTTCTTTTAAATTTTTATTTTCATTCCACTTAGCTAACATACATTGTCATACTAGTTTCAGGTGTAGAATTTAGTGATTCAACACTTCCGTACATCACCCTGTGCTCATCATAACAAGTGCACCCGTCAGTCCCCAACACCTATTTAACCCATTGCTTTTCCCCCTCTTCCCTGGTGACCATCAGTTTGTTCTCTATAATTAAGAGTCTGTTTCTTGGTTTCTCTCCCTCTCCCTTATTTTTTTTCCCTTTGCTTGTTTGTTTTCTTAAGTTCCACACATGAGAGAAATCGTATGATATTTATCTGTTTCTGACTGCCTTAGGAGTACTACTAATCCATTAAAAAAAAAAAATGAAATCTTGCCATTTGCAACAACATGGATGGAGCCAGAGAATATAATGCTAAGTGAAATAAGTCAGTCCATTTCTTTTTTATGGTTCTCAGCACTTTTCAAATGGAAAAACTGAACCCAGAAAGGTTAAGTAACTGAAGCCGTTAGGATGCCACGGCCAGTAAGAGATGAGATGGAGATTCAGATCTGGCTGTTTGACTCCAGATCCTTGTTTTTTAACCTCTACACTATTCTGTCTCTCAAAGGCTTTAAGGTGAGAGCTTGCCTGGAATGTTCTAAGGGTAAGGAAACCAGCATGGTTGGAACAGAGTGAGTAAAGTGCAGTTGGAAAGAGAGATCAGCAGAATAATTGAGGCCAAATTGTATAGGGCTTTGCAGATCATTGTAAGAATTTGACTTTTTACTCTGCATGAGATGGAAAGATTTTCAGAAGTGGAGAGTGACGTGATCTAATATGTTTCTTATAAGGATCACACTAGATACTGAATTTAGAAGAAAATTAAGTTTTCAGTTTTTATGCTTTTTTTGTTTGAAAGTAGTAAAGGTCAAAAATGAATACAAGAATTACAAAGCTAAATTGAGTGGCCCTTTCACAGCCATGAACAGAATATCCAGTTGAAAGTATTTTGTGATCAGCAGTGAAATAGAACGTAAGTGAATGTGTCCAGGGATCAACACATTTCGATGAAGTCAGATGTGAAAAAGAAGCAGAATAATAATAATAACGACAACAATAACATTTTGTCTTGGGAAATGAATCTAAAGGCATTTAAAGTAGAGTGTATGAGTTGTGACAGAGGAAGAATAGAATTTTAACATACACACTGTGAAAGGATCAGTAGAGAGTTGAAGTTGACCTTGAGAATGAGACAATAAGGAAGGTACAGTCATCATCCAATACATGGAGTTAAAATAACACATTAAGCCACTGTTTGTTAACTGGAATAGCTGGAGAAGTTGAAGGGTCTTTGGCATCTGTAGCAGAAAAGAGAAAATAGCTTATTTAAATTTTTTTTTCAACGTTTTTTATTTATTTTTGGGACAGAGAGAGACAGAGCATGAACGGGGGAGGGGCAGAGAGAGAGGGAGACACAGAATCGGAAACAGGCTCCAGGCTCCGAGCCATCAGCCCAGAGCCTGACACGGGGCTCGAACTCAGGGACCGCAAGATCGTGACCTGGCTGAAGTCGGACGCTTAACCAACTGCGCCACCCAGGCGCCCCGAAAATAGCTTATTTAGATGCATCATCCATTTAGATAAATTTAAGTACCAATAACAGATTTACATATTCAACATAAGAGTAAAAACAAAGACAATAGAGCAACATCAGGGAGAAATCAAAGTCAGAGACAGAGATGGCTACCACGTGGAAGGACTTCTAGGAAAGAAGTTGTATGATATTAATTAAAGAAATTACTGTGGATGCTTTTTTTTTTTTTTTTTGAGAGAGAGAGATCAAAGGAAAATACCTGGAAATGTTTTTTTTTTAATTTATTTTTTTTAATTTTTTTAAAGCCTTTTTTTTATTTTTTGTAATCTTTATTTATTTTTGAGAGAGAGACAGGGTACAAGGGGGGAAGGAACAGAGAGAAAGGGAGACACAGAATCCGAAGCAGGCTCCAGGCTCTGAGCTGTCAGCACAGAGCCCAACGTGGGGCTCAGACTCACAAACGGTGAGATCATGACCTGAGCCAAAGTCGGACGCTCAACTGACAGAGCCACCCAGGTGCCCCATGTTTTGTTTTGTTTTTTAATAAGTATTATTTCACAAGGCAATTCTGAAATATCACCTGGGGTGCTTGGATGGAGAGCCTAAGCCAAACTCAACTTATAAGCATGACCTCAGGCACAACAAGGATCAGAAAGCTTTCACGTTTAGTTCTCTATCCCCTCACTTTTGTAAATAATTTCTCTGTCTCCGTCGTAGCAAATGGAACCATCTTTCTATGGCATCTTGAATTTTTCATTTCTCCTTCCCAAGACATAAAGAGAAGAAAATCTAACGCTCTAGCCTTCTTATCAAGAGAACAATGAGTTTACAAGCTTCATTATAGTGCAAAGAATTGATGTTATTATATTCTATTCACCCGTTGGTAACTCAAACAATTGAACACATGTTGCCCGAAGAGAGTTTTGCGTTTTCTGCTCAGTCCTTCTTATGGGGGAAACAATACTCTGTGACCTTGAAAACCCTAACTATATCTCTCACAAACTATAAACGCATGTCCAAGTTCTCTTGCTCTACGAGCCTCCACTCATACAAAATTATGCTATCTCTAGGGTACAGGGAATTTCTACCTTTAACAGAGACTCCTGTCTGCTCAAAGAATGAGGGCTCAACAAGTTATTTCCAAAGTTCTACAACTCTTAGGAGACCATCTGAGCAGGAAAAGTGAAAACTTGGTCTTCTAACTCTCACACATGCACCATGAATGGATGCTTTTTCTTTAACTAGATTGTAATTTTCCTTTATTTTATTAGTGGGAATGGCAGCGAGTCCATACAGTCCTCAATTTGACGCATATAATATAATGCCCATAAACAATCCAGAGCCAGTCTCTGAAACCGTACGGACTTATTTCCCTGAGACCTGGATCTGGGAGTTGGTGGCCGTGGAGTAAGTAATTTCACTCTCCTCCATTTGCTGTGGGTGAGCCAGTGAGAATCCTCCGGCATTTTCAACTCTAAGATAACCTTTCTGAGAAATTCTAAATCATCATCTTAACCTCTCATCCTTTCGGGATAGGTCTAAGAAAATGCTTTTATTATAGAGGTTTTATTATAGAGGTTTCAAATATAATATAAAAATATATTTTACTATAGTAAAATAGTATAACTGAAATAACTGTTCCTGAGACTGCCAGAAACAAGAAATGGGTGCTAAAAATATCCAAATGCTAGACTGCCTAATGCTATGGGGGGAGCCTTCCGTAAACGAGATTGGAACGCGCGCATAAACAAATCAGGCTACGTAAATGTAATGGTCTGTTTGTTAGATCGTGATTCTTAAATATGCTTGTTTATGGGATTGTACAACAGTGAGGGACATCTATGGACCAAACTGAACCACATGAAAGTATTTTTCTTTTAAGGTACAGACATGTTGATGAGGGAAAGAGGCACTGTTGAGTACCTTTTATTTTCCCAACTCAGTTTCCCGATACATAATCTGGTGTACTCGTGTGGACATATTGATTCTCACTTGAGAAAAGATGTTTCACCTGCTTACTTTCTGTTCTTCACATTTCTATCCTCCCCAGCGCATCAGGTGTGGCTGAAGTGGGAGTAATAGTCCCTGACACCATCACGGAATGGAAGGCAGGGGCCCTCTGTCTGTCCAATGACACTGGGCTTGGTCTCTCGCTTCCCGCCTCCCTCCGCGCCTTCCAGCCCTTCTTTGTGGAGCTCACAATGCCCTACTCTGTGATCCGCGGAGAGACCTTCACGCTCAAGGCCACTGTCCTAAACTACCTTCCCAAATGCATCCGGGTAAGGAAAATGAGGGTGAATTGAAAGGGGGGATAGAATCAAAGACTTCTTCGGTCGGTCAGCTCCCGATTCTGTTCCCAAGACTGTGGATAACACTGGGAATTCTGCCCTAGAACTGCAAATAAATAGTGCTAAGCAGGGCAGGACCTGATCAGGAAGATAACACAATGACCTTTGGGCTACTGGTACAGGATCTCCAAACCACATACTTTTAAAAAGAAAATTGCCCGAATCTGGCCGAATCCTTTAACACAGGATAGGCTTTTTGCCAGGAAACTTCTTGATGCTGACGGAAAAAAAAGCCCGTTTTCTTAATTCCATGAGTGTCATCCTTCAAGTTCTTATCTCTAAACTCCCACAATGTGCTTGTAACTTCTACAGCATGTATTTCTTTGTACATTTCGTCACGGTTTTGTATATCGATTATCCCCTTTGTAACACAATATCCTCAAGGTCCGGAAGCTCTTAATTTGCTCTGTCTTGTATATAGTAGACAGGTGATATTTGTTGAGGGAAGTGGGAAGAAGGGAAGAAAGAAGTCAGGAAGAAAATCTACACGGGAGGTAGGAACCAACGGGTAGAACCAGTAGGTAATGCTCCCATGGGCAATCTTCCATTGCGGTTTTCCCCTCCCCTCCACTGTTGCTATACCTGCAAATTTCTCCAATCCACCCTAATGCAAAGACCCGATCCTCCTAGTAAGGAATCATTCTTGCTTTGTATCACTGCCATTCTTAAACTCCTCAAAGCATGCGTGGACTTACGTGACATAATTTTTCCTCCCAGTCCCAGTCTAGTGCAGCATCTCATATGTGGTCCCAGTTCTGTGCATTCATTGTCTCTCCATATTCTGACCATTTGTTTCTATGCCTCGCTTGCAAATGATAGGTCAGTGTGCAACTGCAAGCTTCCCCAGCCTTCCTACAATCCCAGAATGAAAAGGGAGAGGAATCTCATTGCATCTGTGTAAATGAGAGGCGAACCCTGTCTTGGGCGATAACTCCCAAAACACTGGGTGAGTGACGTTCCCCCAACACATTCTCCGATCAACAAGCGTCGTAGGTATCTGGACCCTACATACATCACGTTCTCCTTTCTGCTTTCTGCAAATATAATTCCATAAGGTTAGTTTGTCATTTCTTTTGCTTTCTACCCCCAGCGGCCTCCCAGTACTCCCACTGCACCTGGGTCCCATGATCATTGTGGCTCGGGCACAGTGGACATGAGCCTTGAGGTTTTTTTCAGCTTTATTTCCCACTTCCGGCCAACAGTAAGGTGAAAGGGCAGCCCTTCAAGATGATGACAGAGCACAGAGTCATTTTCCGGGGGTAATAGCTCAGTGGTAGACCATTTGACAAGCACACATTTTCAGCTATAAGGGACGGCGTGGACTGCTGTCAAGGTGAACACGCAAGTTTTTCTACGTTTTTCTGTTCCAGGGAGTGTGAACTTCTCGGTGAGTGCAGAGGCAGTGCCGTCCCTCGAGCTGTGTGGAAATGAGATTGCTGAGGTCCCTGAGATGGGGAGAAAAGACACGGTCATCAAAACCCTGTTGGTGGAGGTAGGTCGGTCCGGACCACTTTGACATATTTTTCTGAGACCCTAGCAATAATAACAATGAAAAAATATGGCCATATTCTTGAGATAATAAAGGAGAATTATACCATACTCACACAATCCCCCTGGGAAGACTAACGGAATTTCCTGTCCTAAAAGTTTACAGGAGTCGGTTAGGCACCCGACTCCTGATTTTCGTTCACGTCGTGATCTCACGGCCATGGGATCGAGCCCCGTGTCAGGCTCCACAATGTGGAGCCCGCTTAAGACTCTCCTCTCTCTCTTCCTCTGCCCCTCGCCCCTGCTCACTCTCTAAAGTAAAATAGAATATGAAAAAAAAGTGTTATAGTCAACTTTGCTAACTAACCTTGTTAGCTTATTGTAAATACTTTTTTCATAGATTAATTTAGAACTATTCTCTTTTCCTGATCTCTCCCTCTCTTCTAAGATTCGCTTATTTCTCACCCCTTGTATCTTTGATTCTCTTTCCTTATTATCCCTCCTTTCCTCCTCTGCAGATCTCCCCGGTTTTTCGAATTGTACGGATTTATAGCAATTTGATCATAAGTGGGATGTGAAGATTGTGTAGCGTAAATTCCAGCCTGCAATGCAATGAATCTATGGTTGTCCCTCAAAAACCTGGATATTTATCCATTTTCTCCTTTTTTTTTTTGTTTTTTTTACTCCAGCCTGAAGGTATTGAGCAAGAAGAGACTTTCAACTTTATGATCTGTGCTTCAGGTACAACAGTCAATCTTCATAATCATGGTGAGAATAACGCCTCACAGGGATATGTATGTCAAATTACAATGCAAACTCAGTTCACATTTAGCCTTTACCTCCGTAGCCCAGGGACTGACCGTGAACCAGTCAGGACATAGTAGCTTAGAGTGTCATAGTTTAGGTAGAAAGGGAGCAAAGTCATGATAAGTTTGAATGACAATAATATTCCCTAAAATAGTTGACGATGAAATATGTGGCACTTTGTACTCATCTTACTAAAAAAAAAAAATGTTTTTCATGGCAAAAAGAAAACCCGTTTTGCATCGGGAGTTTGTCATATCACTGAGAAACACCTGTACCTTGCAAATTACATTACCACATTAGTATTAGCGCTACGTCATATGTGTATATGTGTATATGTGTATATGACGCTTTTCTTGTCACTTGAGAAGGACCATTTTAAAATATAAACTCAGAGAACAATAAAAGCAGAGAATTGTGCCATTAAATCAAAGAACTGTACACCCTCACCAGTTCCCAGGCTCCTTTGAGAGAGCTACTATGCACGGCAACACAAAACATAGCAAAGTGAGAGGGGAAAGGACTCTGGTAGTCATACAGCACCAAGAAGAGCTGGACTATTAAAGGTGATCTCACCATAAGCCACAGTCCTTATCCCTTGGACCCCGAGTCCCTGAAGGAGACATAATAACACTGAATATAATAATAACAACCATAATAACTGCTCATGTGTATGGAGATTCGACATGTTGCAGAGGCTGTTCTAATGCACACGTGTTTCACATGCATTCTTCCTTGAGTCGTCATACGAGCAAGTTAGACGATGAAGAGGTTAAGGAATTTGTCCAAGGTTTGTAGCTAGTAAGTGGCAGGGCTGGTACCATATCCAAGCAGGATGCCTCTGACCCCCTCCTAACCACTACATCATACTGCGATAAGAGATGCCATCTTTTGATATGGATTGTCTGTTTCCAAAGGCACTGAAATATCTGAGCAGTTATCTCTGAAGCTCCCACCTAACGTGGTCAAAGAATCAGCCAGAGCCTCCTTTTCAGTTTTGGGTGAGTCAACTTGCACCCAGAAAACTTGAGACAAAAGAGCAGCCATAATACATTTTTTTTGTATCTATCTATCTATCTATCTATGTGTTTGAAATCTCAACTTATTGATAATACCTATTTCTATTGGGATTCTGGAAGTCTCACTCTCTAAATAGAACTTTTCCCTTGCCTAAATGATGGTATCTATAATTCTAAATAGGAAAATCACTTGTCTTTAATAGTGTGAGCTACTTACGAGCTGAAATTACTCTGACACCTAATCTTTCACATCCCCCAGGTGACATATTAGGTTCTGCTATGCAAAATATACAGAATCTCCTCCAGATGCCCTATGGCTGTGGAGAACAAAACATGGCCCTATTTGCTCCGAACATCTATGTTTTGAACTATCTGAATGAAACCCAACAGTTGACTGCAGAGATCAAGTCCAAGGCCCTCAGCTATCTTATCAGTGGTGAGACAAAGACGAGTTTACTTTGTTACTCTAAGGAGATTTTTCCCGATTAAACTTGAATCATATTACCAGATATTAAGCTAATGATGGTGATTTGGGGGGAAATGACAACTTTCCCAACATTTGATAGGATGTTGTGTTGTGAGATATCCATATCACCATGACAGATCCTATGCACAAGAGACCGTACAATGTCTGGGGCTTCTGACCAACCTGCGCGTATTGGTGGCTTGCCTTTCTATAATATTTCTTGAACTAATTGAACCTTTCATTCCAGGTTACCAGAGACAGCTGAACTACAAACACCAAGATGGTTCCTACAGCCCCTTTGGACAGCAATATGGCAGGAGCCAGGGCAACACTTGGTAAGAGAAGAAAATCTGAGTCTCAACGATGAGCTCACAGCATGTACATGGATTAGCCTATTTAATTCTTACAACTACCCTGTGAAGTGAGAGCCGCTTCATTTTACAGAGGAGGAAATGCTATACACCATGGATAAATAAATGTCTCTGGTATAAACAGCTCCTAAGTGGCAGAAATGAGAACACTTGGAACTTGATTCTTTTTTATATCTAATATACCAAGCGTCTTTTCTTTCTCGTGTTGCTAAGAGACCATTGTAAGTTTGTGGTTTTCCCTCTTGAGTTGTTGCTTAGCACTGAGAGACACTAGAGACAGGCAAGAAGAACAGTAGCCATACCTCACGGAGTGTCCTTTACTAACTTTTACTAAATGATTCTCTCTGTCTGTCTGTCTGTCTCTCTGTTTATCCATCCATCGTGGTCAGCCCATCCATCGATCTTCCATCTGTCCCTCCAGCTATCTACCTGTCTGTCCATCCACTCATCTATTTATTTTTCTATTCATCCATCTTGAAGAAGTCCGACCACAAAAGAAAACGAGAGGAAATCAATGACCCAGAAAGTGGTGGAGAAGCTGGGCGAGGTGAAATATTTACTGAGGCAGGACATTAAAAGCAGTTCATTAGACTATGAGCTGCATAAGAGGAGGTAAGAAATCTGTGAAAAGAGCCTGGGTAGCTCAGTCGGTTAAGCATCCGACTCTGGATTTCGGCTCAGGTCAAGATCTCATGGTTTGTGAGTTCAAGCCCTGCATCAGCACAGAACTGTCAGCACAAAGCCCGCTTAGAATTCTCTCTCTCCCTCTCTCTCTGCCCCTCCCCTGCTCAAGCTCTCTCTCTCTCTCTCTCTCTCTGTCTGTGTCTCTCAAAATAAATAAATAACTTTAAAAATGGAAATCTGTGAGAAGAAATAAATACAGAAAGGCCAGAATGTGAGAGCAAATATCTCAACTACCCAACAACACTAGGAGACACCTGAATCTCTGAAGTGACACGGAAATGCTTTAGGAAGTCAGGACCAGTTGGTAATGCGACGAAACAAAAAGAGTATCGTTAACAGACAAAGTCTCCAGACTCTCAGTAATAGTTTATTGACTCCTCAGGCTCACAGCCTTTGTACTGAAGACTTTTTCCCAGGCTCGAACCTCCATCTTTATCGATGAAGCACACATCACCCAAGCCCTCAGCTGGCTCTCCCAAAGGCAGAAGGAAGACGGCTGTTTCAGGAGCTCTGGGTCTCTGCTCAACAATGCCATTAAGGTGAGGTGTTCTGAGTACTTATCCCGAACGTCACGATGGTACACACATGCTAACATTCCTCCAAAGGTGATGAGAGGAAAAAAGGCACAGGGGGGTTGAAAAGATGAAGTCCAGTATTTTGTGAGAGGGCATCAGGGAAGGAATGTTAAACCTGAAGATGTGAAACCTGAGAAGAAAGAAACGGCACTTTGCATGAGGCTGTTAATTTGCTTGATAGAGACAGATACTGAGGAGAGTCTCTATGAAACAGCAGAAAAGAATATACTACCATCTTAAAGTAGGATTAATAAAAATCTCTCTCTCTCTCTCTCTCTCTCTCTCTCTCTCTCTCTCTTCCTCTTTTCACAGGGAGGAGTAGAAGATGAAGTGACCCTCTCTGCCTATGTCACTATTGCTCTTCTGGAAATTCCTCTCCCTGCTACTGTAAGATTCACCTCACTTCCACTTCCTACCATGAAAACTACAACCCTGATGTCTGAACACGCCCTACAAAAAGCCAAGTCTTCGCTCAATGCGGAGGCATTTCTCAGCTCGCAGAGCTCTGTGGTTAATCCAGCAAAGGGAATTTATACTTGCCTAGCAACGCCCTCAGGCTATGTACAAAACTCATCCTAAACACTCAGGTTCTGTAGACTTACTCTTTTTTTTTTTTTTTCAACGTTTTTATTTATTTTTGGGACAGAGAGAGACAGAGCATGAACGGGGGAGGGGCAGAGAGAGAGGGAGACACAGAATCGGAAACAGGCTCCAGGCTCCGAGCCATCAGCCCAGAGCCTGACGCGGGGCTCGAACTCACGGACCGCGAGATCGTGACCTGGCTGAAGTCGGACGCTTAACCGACTGCGCCACCCAGGCGCCCCTGTAGACTTACTCTTTTAAGACTTAAGTATAAAGCTAAGAGATTTAAAACACTTTTTCAACTTCAAAATCGTGGATATCCGGCTGTCTACCTGGCTGGCTAACAGCCGTGAATGACATCTGTCACGCGATGTCCAACCCAGGGCCCGCTCCATCCGCGACTTGCCCTAGCTTGACATCATTACCTCCTGGTCTTTGCAGCACCCGGTTGTTCGCAATGCCCTCTTCTGCCTGGAGTCTGCCTGGAACACGGCAAAGGAGGGGACCCATGGGAGCCATAGCTACACCAAGGCGTTGTTGGCCTACGCTTTTGCCCTGGTGGGAAAGCAAGACAAGAAGAGAGAAATACTGGACTCTCTTAGGGAGGAAGCTGTGAAAGAAGGTGAGAGCGAATGGTCAAAAAATGTCCCCCTCCTCTTCCCCGACACTGCAAAAAGACAATTGTGTTCCTGCTGAAAGTAATAAGTCTCCTTATCCAACTCAGGTGTTATGAAATCAGAGTACCTCTCATAAAAATGTCATCTCTGCGATGTCATATGTTATACAGTGTGTCACATAATAGACAGTGCTGCAGGTAAATTGTGGAAGTTTATTCCTCACTGCGACATATATATATATTTTAAATTTATATATATTTCCCATGGTATCTGCCTGCTTGAATGAAATTATACTCGAATGAAAAGAGGCACAACCAAAAAGCCATACTGAGGGAAGTGCAATAACATTTTCACAGTGTTTTTATCTCTATCTGCAAAGAGATGATCACAAAAAGTCCTCTGGGATCAATGCGTGGGTTTTATATTCCAATTTATCCTCCAGTTTCCACGAAATCTCTCAAGCAATAAGGGAACTCTCTTGGGTGCCTGGGTGGCTCGGTCGGTTCAGTGTCCGACTTCAGCTCAGGACATGATCTCACAGTTTGTGAGTTCAAGCCCCACGTCGGGCTCTGTGCTGACAGCTCAGAGCCTGGAGCCTGCTTCGGGTTCAGTGTCTCCGTCGTTCTCTGCCTCTCTCTCTCTCTCAAAAATAAACATTAAAAAATTAATAAAAAAATAACATTTAAGACACTGATAAGGATGTTCCGTGCTTCGTCCTCCAACAACATTCTTCAACTTAGCCCCACAGGACTAAACCAAGCTTAGTATGCAAATGTGACTCAGGGAATTTGTGGGGCTTATGGAAGAGAGGACCTTACTCCATCCCTGTATTATTTTCAGCTACACATGATACAAATGTGTTTTCATGTATCATCTGCGAACCATCATCCTTTTTCTTACCCTTAAGGCAACTCAGTCCACTGGGAGCGACCTGAGAAACCCAGGGCACCAGTGGGGCCTCTTTATCAGCCCCAGGCTCCCTCAGCTGAGGTGGAGATGACGTCCTACGTGCTCCTCGCTCACCTCACGGCCCAGCCTAGCCCGACCTCCGAGGACCTGACTTCGGCCGCGGGCATCGTGAGCTGGATCCTAAAGCAACAGAATGCCCACGGGGGCTTCTCCTCCACCCAGGTCTGTGGTTCCCAAATAGTCTTCTCTTCCAGATTCACTTGGCAGATGGGAAGCTTGAAAACAGAACAGTTACGAGGAAAAGAGAAGAGACCATTAAATCATGGGGAGGGTTCTTTAGGGATATTTGAGGACAGTGGGAATCTGAAGGAAACAGACCTGAGACATTCCCCCAAAACGCTTTTCCCAAGTGCTGTGTTGACACCCTATCCGTGTGGCTACTGACCATGAACATCAGCCCTCTCTAAAGCTTACACACATGGGTCGCTGGCCACACTCTAGACTCGGGTTTTTGAATATCGGTGCTCCTGACATTTTGGGGAAGATACTTGGGGAAGCCAAGAACACTGTTGTGAGGGGCTGTCCTGGGCACCGAAGATGTTTGGCAGCACCCGTGTCCTCTCCCCACTAGATGGCCCATGGCACCCCACCTACTCTCAGTCGAGATAAGGTAGAATCACCACTGGGTAAGAAACAGTGTTCTTGGCTCCTGTAGGATTCTTCCAACAAGAAACCCTCTAAGGTGAACCAGAAAAGTGTATGATTAAAAGGAAAGTGACCGAGGCACCTGGACGGCTCAGTAGGTTGAGTGTCTGACTTTAGCTCAGTTCATGATCTTGCAGTTCATGAGTTCGAGCCCCACATCAGGCTCTCTGCCGTCAGTCAGCACAGGGCCTGCTTTGGATCCTCTGTCCCCTTCTCTCTCTGCCTCTCCCCTGCTCATTCTCTCTCTCTCTCTCTTTCAAAAATAAACATT